TTAAATTTAGCCTAGGACAGACATAAGTGGTGGCCACCTATTAAAGCACAACTTGCCTGCTGTGCTGCAGGCACCAGCAGGAGTGGTGAGATCAAGTTAATGGATGGAGTGATCAGGTCCTGCATAAAACCTCCTCTTCCTGCAGCCTGTTGGCTCCTGACCTCTGCAGTTACTCACAGCTGGCAGACACAGATCTTCCCCTTCTTCCCTGTCTGTCCAGCAGCCTGCTCAGTGCTTTGGTATTTCCTGGTTCCTGAGTGCTTAACTTTGTAGCTAATAACACTAAAAGATTTATATGCAAACTAATCTCTCAGAGACAATACCTACATTAATTTTACCAGCTTCCTTGAGCCTTGTTACTGTAAACTGGCGTGTGGCTTTTGCTAAATCTTCAAAGCCTGGTGGAAAAACATGACCCCAGGGCAGGCAGGAGCTCGGGGAGGAGGCAGAGCAGTCTGGAGGTGAGGAGGGCACTTGTGGGGAGCCCACACTAAAGATCTCTGCAGGTGGGACCGTCGGGCTGGCGCCTCCCCTGCAGCACAGGGAGGGAGGCTGTGAGTGTGCCAAGCAGGGAGAGCGCGAGAGGAAGAACACAGGAGGCTGGGTGGTGGCCTGTGACAGGTTTTGGGGTTAGTGAAGAGGAAGTAACACCTAGTCCTGATCTCCAGCAGAGCACTCCTGATGTCGTTGCTCTGCTCAGCGACGGGTTTTTATTCACGTTTTGTCCTAAGCAGGTTTTGAACTCTTGCAAAATGCATTTAAGAAGTTTCTGGTTGTGGGGAGCTTATCCAGAAACCAGCAGCTGATACTTCAGCTCTGAAGAGATTTATTTATTTTTTTAAGACTTGCATCAGCTTCGTTGTGCAAGGCTCTGCTAAGGGGAAGTACAGAGTAGGGCTTGTAAATAATGAATCACTCACAACAGCTGCACTGATGGCAGAGGCTGCTCCCTCCCGAGCTGCCCTGGCAGGGGGGCTGTAGCTGTCACTTCCAAGCTCCCTTCCCAAGCCAGCAAGGAGAACGGGTCCACAGCCTGCTCAGGAAGGCAGGGGGAGGCTTTGTGTGCAAGGACAGCAGGGAAACGTTATTTTTACACTTGTCAGCTGCATCTCAGTAAAAAAGAGGCCTCAGACTGACCTGTTTTAGTGCCTGTCACTCAGAAAGATGCTAAAACATGCTCAGCTGCAAGGGTGAGAGGATTTCTTGCACACTGGTTAGGAACCTTTCCCTGGACGGGTGTAATCCCCCTGAAGATGACTCTGTGACCACTGTGGCATTCAAGCAAAGCAATGAAAGAAACCCCTCAGCAGAAGTATTTGTGAATAAGAAGCTACACAGCCAAGAGGAGCTGCTGGCCCAAAAATCCCATTTAAACTGACAGAAGGGCACGCTGGGGGGAAAGGGAAGAGCTGAGTCACCTCCAGGGTGGTGAGATACCCATCACTTAATCTTTCTGGATTGACAAAAGAACAGGTAACAGCAGAGCTGCCTCAACTCAAGGGGGATATTTGGGTTACTTAATCCTGC